CACGGAGAGGCTTGGAGAATGCTCCAGGGAAGATGCCTGGGCCGAGTTCAGCCCACCCTGCCCCCTGCCTAGCCCACCCTGCCCCCTGCCTAGCCCCACACCCTGCCCCCTGCCTAGCCCCACACCCTGCTCCCCTCCCCCAGCCAGGGGCCCTGGGCTGGGCAGCTTCCTGCCTTCCCCATGGGGAAAGCGGGGGTGGCATGCAGGTGGGTGGGCCCCATGCCCACATCCGGTGGCCGCCAGAACCTTCCCTCGAGCCTCTTTCCCTCCACTCCTCCAAGTCCCCTTCTCTCCCCGTAGCACCTGTGCCCTGCCTTAGGACCTGGTCCTCACGGCAACTCTGCCCTGCCCTCCTGTCCCCACAGGCCTCGAGGAGAACGTGAACACCTAGCCTAGTGCCAGCAGGCCCACTGAGCCTGAGTGTGCCCCCTGCACTGTGTCCTGCGGGCTGAGGCTGGAGGAGGGGTGGCTCTGCAGGGTGCTGAGGACAACTTCCTCCATGGAGAGCGTGCTGGCCCTGAAACGCAGAAGCGCCAGGGCTGGCCTGAGTTCGGGGAAGGGAAGGGAGTTTTCTGGGCTGGGATCAACACCAGTGGGGCTCAGAGTGAAGGCGCTTTTCTTGTGCTGGAATTCTGGACTCCCTGTTTTGGGCACTCACCAAACGCCCTGTTGGGGAGCCCTGGCCTTCTGGGGTCACCCCAATGCTCTGAGTCAGTCCCAGGCTTTTGAGTCATCCCTTGGAGCTGGTGCTTTGGGGGGAAGGGCAGCTGGGGCCGGAAGCCACCTGCCCAGGGCATGAGAGAGGGTCCCCAGCCCTCCCTCGGGCCCACCCCCCTCTGTTTCCTGTCAGTCTGTCCTCCCCAGGGAGGGAGGAAGGGAGGAAGGGCGCTCATCCCCTGCAGGGCGGGGGCGGGGCGGGCTCTGGACCGTTGGGCGCCCTGAGCTCTGGCCCACGTGGCCTCGCCTTGCCTCGGGGTTATAAGCCCTGCCCTCCCTGAAGGGAACCCCACTTCAGAGCCTGGAGCACAGGGGCACTCTCCTCCGCCCTGCAGCCTCAGGTAAGGGCCCGACCTTCACTGCTGCCCCAACTGGGGCTCCTGGACTCGGGGCCTCAAGGGGCTTGGGCTGCTGGTCTGGGTGGAGATGCGTGGGGGTTGGCAAGGAGCTTGGGTGCGAGGCTCATGCAGGAAGCTCAGGGCACAATGCCTCGATACTCTCTATAGTCAAGGAAGATAAAATGGCTCCTGGACCCCAGAGGGGAAAGAGGTGTCCAAGGAGGAAGGCTGGAGACTAGGGTGGGGACGGCAGGGGGTGGGCAGAGGCTGGGAAGTGGGACCGGTGTCTCAAGGGGCGCCAAGCTCTTCCTCCGCCCAACATGGCCGCCATTTTTGTCAGGATAGCCTTGGGCTCCTGCCAGGGGAGCATCAAGGCAGTGAGAAGATCAGGGCTTTGGGCTGGTGGGGAGGCTGGGAATCAAGGCTCTGGGGGGTCAGGACCTTGGGGCTGGTGGGGAGTCCGGGGACTGAGGCCTGGGGAGTTAGGACCTTGGGCTGCTATGGAGGCCAGGACTGAGGCCCTGGCTGGGGGGCAAGTGGGTGGGCAGGACCTGGGCTGGTGAGGAGGCTGGGATTTGAGGCCCTGGGGTGTTCAAGACTTTGGGTTGTTGGGGAGGCTGGGACCTCGGCCCTGGGGGTCAGGACCTTGGGCTGGTGGGAAAGGTGGAGGGTGGGGACCGAGGCTTTGGGCAGTCAGGACCTCAGGGTGGTGGGGAGGCTGGAGACCAAGACCTTAGCGGGGCAGTTGTGGCTGCCTCATTTGGACCCTGGAGGGTGGGTAAAGTGGCTGGGAGTGGCCAGCCAGGGGGCTGAAGAGCTGGAGGTGAGGTCTCCAGAGGCCCTGGTCTCTACCTGAGTGTCCCTGAAACTGGGGGGATGGGGTGGAGCCTTCAAGGGGAAGGGAAGAGGGAACCAAAGAGGAAGTGGGGGAGGGAGGTAGAGGAGGCAAGTCTGGCGCCATGCTGAGTCACCGCCCACAAGGCCCAGGGCGGGCCCTCGGGGGGGCCCTGGCAGGGTAGGGGGGTCTTAGGAAGCCACAAGGAGGGCTGGGGGGCTCTTGGAGCAGGAGTCAGGAGGCCCGGGTGGCCTGAAGAGTATACACCGTCGGACAGACAGACAGTGCAGTCACCCATAAAGTAGAAAGCACTACTAACAGCACTGGAGGGTGTAGTGTTTCCTACTTTATGGATGAGTGTACTGTGGGCTTCGGAGATCACGCTGCTGCTGTCGCCCGCCACCATCCTCCTCTGCGCTTGGGGACCACGTGTGACAGGTGAGCACCTCACGCCCCCTCCCTACCCTGCCTAGACGCCTGAAAGGCCTCCATGGCTCTCTCGCCCTTCCTGGCTCTGAACAACTGGGGAAAGGCCCCAGCAGCTCCTCTGCTGCCACCCTGCAGTCTTGGGGGGCGGGGAGGGCTGGACAGCTGGAGCCCTGACGCAGCCACAGCCGCGAGGACGAGGAAGGGGTGGGAAGAGAGGGTGCATGGAGGGGAATGGGCGGCGGTGCCAGGGACCCAATGCTAATAAAGACTGGACTGTGCTTCTCTTTTGTCTGAGACTCTGTTGTTGGGGTGGGGAGCTGAATGTGGGTGGTGGGCACATGGACAGTGTGGGCTCATGGAAGGGCTGGAGGCAGAACCTCTCTCGCTCCTCTGAGAGATATGGTTTGGCCCTGCCTGTGAGATCAGAAGACGGCTCTGGGCCTGGCCAGGCCACAGCCGGAGGAAAGAAGGGCCTGGGGTCATCTGCAGAGAGGGGGAGGGATGTCAGGCATCCTCTCACCCTCTACCCAAGCTCTGGCCCTATCCTGCCCGCACTCACTCTCTATACCCTCAAACCGAACGCTGCCTACATCCAGTTTTAATCTACAAAAGTCTATGGGGTCCCGGGTAATATAAGAATTGGAGAAAATCCACTGTGGCACGTACGCAGCATCTTTTTTTTCCTTTTTGAGACAGGGTCTCACTCTATTGCCCAGGCTGGAGTGCAGTGTTGCAATCCTGGCTCACTGAAACCTCCACTTCCTGGGTTCAAGTGATTCTTCTGTCTCAGCCTCCCGAGTAGCTGGGATTACAGGCATGAGCCGCCACACCTGGCTAATTTTGTATTTTTAGTAGAGGCAGGGTTTCTCCATGTTGGTCAGGCTGGTCTTGCACTCCTGACCTCAGGTGATCTACCCACCTTGGCCTCTCAAAGTGCCGGGATTACAGGCATGAGCCACCGCACCCGGCCACAGCATCTTAGACATAGACAAGGGCACGGGCACTCATATACAAAGCACACACTGAGATGCAAATGCATCTACACAGTGGCCCCATGCAGTGTGCCAGTGGCACACACATACACAGACACATGAGACATGACTGGCACGACACACCCAAGGCACATACATATTCAATAATACACACATGCAATGATAGAAACATATGATGTGTCTTCCATATAGAAGCACGCACATACAGTGACAGTCACATAATAAACCCAGTGGCTACATACACAGACATAGAGACACATTCCTATATGATGATATAGAATACATAAATAGAAACATGGTGATATATATAAAGAAAACCATGTCATTATGCATATTTACATGACTATATGAACATATCATGTATTGTGTAATCGATTACTATATTGTGCCATATAGTAACTTCCATATCTATACATATCGTGATGTGTTGTAATTTACAAAGTCACACAATGATAGCCTCACATGCACGCAAATGGCACATACATAGACACAGTGGCAAATAGACATATATGCAATGACATAGAAACACGCATATATGTACGCCCAATGTGTTTTTGTTATGTTTTATTATGTGACTCATAGGCACATAATAGCACACACATATATACACACAATGGCCCCTCCACAGATACAGAAATAGATCTACATCTAATGTATATATGCTCCTCCTATACACATGCATGTGCATAATGGCGTGCATTTATACTCTGACTGAACCATCAGCAACACATCATGCAGTGGCGTGCGTGTTGAGCTACACACTGTTTTGGGGAAGTGAAGATGTCCACTCCTCCCCATGCACCCCCTACCTCCAGTCCCATTGGCTGTTGCCTGGGTGGAGCCCACAGTCGGGCTCCATGGTTCAGTATCACTACTGCTATTCTGCGGGGGTGCCACACGAGGGCCCCTGACCTGGGCTGAAACTGGCTTGTCGAATGAGTCCCAGGTTCAGAGGGGAGAGGGGCTGCCTCTTGGGGCCTCTCCCAATACCCCTGTCTCTGGGGACTCCATCTAGAGCCCTGTCCCTTCCTATAGGCTGACTCCTGGCTAGGGGGCTTCTCACGTCCTTGTCCCCCCAAACCATTTTTTCATAGCAACAAGGTCTAAGGCTAGACAGAAGATGAACTTCCACACAATTTGAGGCAAAGCCAGCCCAACAGGCCATGTGGGCTTCCCTGGTGGCCTGGGAGAGCCAGATTGCCCCCCACCCCCAGTACAATCTGCCAGGAGGAAGCGGAAGCAATTCTCTCAGTCTATTTCTACCTATCTTTGTTTCTGTCTTCCAGTTTTCGTTCTCTTCATTTCTGTCTTTCTCTTTGTTTCATCTCCAGTCCCATCTTTTCTAGTTCTGCCCTTCTCTGTGGCTGGATCTCTGTCATACCCTCCCCCGTTCTGTCTCTACCAGCCTCACCCGGTGTGAGGAGGACCATCTGCACCCGGCTCGCCTCTGTGCTCCGGAAGGTGTGAGAATGTGTGAAGACAAGGGTGGGAGGCCACATGTGGGAGCCCTGGGCTGACATCCCGTGAGAAACCTGCTCTTCCTTCTGTCCCCGACCCTGTCAGCCGGTCCAACCCACCAGTCCAGCGCCATCACCATGGAAACCAGCAGCCGACTTCCTATTGGTGGGTGGGAGGGGAGGAGGAGGGGGAGGGGAGGGCTGGCTCTCCCTGGCTTGCCCCCCCCAATTCTGAGGCTCAGCCCTCCTCGGAGCCCACCATCTCGAGGCTCCCAGACTGTAAGGGACCCCTGCAGTCCCCAGAGCTGAGGCCGGCAGGGGCTGAGACTATGAGGCAAGCAGCCCATCGACCCAGGCCTCCTTAGGACCAGCCCAGCCACCCAGCAAGCGAGACAGCAGCAGCAGAGAGCGGAGCCGGAGATAAAGGACCACAGCGGACCACTGGGGATCCCCAGCAGCTCCTGAAGCCCCTGGCCAGGCTGAGGGGTTTCGACGGATGGCCAGACACACAGACACTGACAGACACACAACAACACCGATGCACACAGCTGCACGACACTGACACACTCAGATACAACCAGTGACAGCATCACATACTGCCACAGCCCTGCAATACAGACACCCACACACAGAGAAACAACTGGCAACTCTGAAATGGGCAGACAGTGACACACAGCACCACCCCCCTCAACACGTAGAAGTGGGGGCACCCATCTTCCCAACGCACAAGGCAGCATTGAGCTGCACGGACAGACCTGGAGACACACACGCACACCCTCACCCAGGCGCAGCTGTCGGTGGCCTCTGCACATCCTCCCCACCCCCACGGGGGACACCCTCGCTTCTCCACATACTGGCGCACACACATAGCCACCAGCAAACATAGCTCACATATCCCTGGCTCCAGCTCTGGCAGCCCTGGCACCTTCTGCAGCCTCCTTTGTGGGTGGGGAAGAGCTCAGCCAACCTTGGATGGAGCATCGGTGAAGCAAGAGCTCAGAGGGGAGAGGAGCTGGCCTGGCATGACCCTCGCCAGTCCCCTCAGCTGGCTGGGTGATGTCCCCCGGCCCGGGTTCTGGAGCCCCTTGGCAGTACTATGGAGCAACTGACAACCCTCCCACGGCCTGCGGACCCTGGAACCATGGAGCCATGGGCACTGCCCACCTGGCAGAGCTGGACTCCAGGTCGAGGGGGTGAACCTGGCAGTGCAGCCCCAAGGGTTGCCGATATTCCTCCGGGAGCTCTGCAGCTCCGAGAACTGAGGTCTGAGGAGAGTTCCGAGCCCAAAGGCACCCAGAGCTCCAGGCCCGTGGGGTGCACTGACTCTGAAGGAGCAGAGGCTGGTCTACCACGCCTGGGCCAGCAAGCATCAAGCTCTGGACCCACCTGCCTGAGGCCAGAGGATGAGGAAGTAGAGGCTTTCCCAAAGGTAAGGGATCTGTGGGGGGCTGGGGTCTGCAGGGTGGGGGTCTCTTACCATGTCCTCCAGCCTGGCTGGGAGGTGAGGCCAGGCATGCATCCCCACTGCCTACCTCTCCTCTCTTGGCCTGTCTGTGGGTCTGACTCTGTGGCTATCTGTCCTCTCTTCATCAAGCAGAAATCTTGGGGGCTCCATTTCTTTCGGCATTTGTCTGTCCTTCTGACTCTTTCTGTCTGTCTGTCTGTATCTGGCCCTGCTGCTGCCCTGTCCCTCTCCCTGACAGTGTGTCTCTCTGTCTGTGTCACTTCCTCCATGAGTCTATCTGTCCCCGGGGGCTGGGAGTACTGGGGGAGTGTGGAGGTGTACGGTAGAATCAGTAGAGGAAGCAGTTTGAGGGGAGGGGGCTTTGGGCAGGGCTGAGCCAGGGTTCAGGTGGAGCAGGCTTCTGTAGCAGAGGGAGGGAACAGGACTTTGGGGGAGGGCAGGGGAGTCTGGATGGATGGGAGTGGGAGCTCGAGCTGGCATTTCCCTGGAGGAGAAGACGGATAGGAGAGGGAAGGATCAGGGGAGAGCAGGAAGGTCCCAGGGCTGGGGGTGCCTCTGTGGATGGAGGACACGACAGCTCCTTCACCTGTCTCCTCTGGCCCACTCTGAAGGCCTGAGACCTGGGGGGAAACCATTTCATCTCCATGTCTCCTCGGACCATGGGTGAGGGGTGCTTCCACATGGAAGGCTCTGCTGGGTGACTGGGTTTCTGAGGTGCTGTCCTCGGTCCTTTCCCACGCCAGGCCAAGCTGAACATGGGCTTCGGGGACAGGCCCAATCTGGAGCTGCTGAGGGCCCTGGGGGAGCTGCAGCAGCGCTGTGCCATCCTTAAGGAGGAAAACCAGATGCTGGTGAGGCTTGGAGACTGGGGTCCTGCGTTCTGGCTGGAGCCAGGCCCTCAGTGCCCTCCTCACCCCATGACCATCTCTCCAGGTGGGGGCTCCATGGAGGTGACAAAACCCAAAACCCAGAGAGAGTAAACCCCTGCCTAGAGTTGCCAAGGACCCCACTGTGAGCCTAGGGCTCTAGCCCAAGACCTGGGCAATTAGGACTGGGTCTGTGGGATGTTCCCTACATGTCCCAATTCTGCCTGACTCCTTGTCAGAGAAAGAGCAGCTTCCCTGAGACAGAAGAGAAGGTGCGGAGGCTGAAGAGGAAGAATGCCGAGCTGGCGGTCATTGCCAAGCGCCTGGAGGAGAGGGCCCGAAAGCTGCAGGAAACGAACCTGAGGGTGGTGAGGACAGGAGGCTGCTGGCTGGAGGCTGGGCGACCAGGGGAGAGGGGAGCCAGGGCTGGGCCTAGGGGCTGTCTGAAGCTTGGGAGTCACAGACTCAGCACCTAGGAAAGCAAGAATCTAGGGGCTCAGGTGCAGGAAGGGCAGAAGCTGGCCAGGCCAGGAGGCCAAAGGTTTCTGGAGCTGCAGTGGGGAGAGGAGAGCTGGATGGGGAGGTTCCTGAGCAGGCAGGGAGCAGGATTCTGGATTACCATGCGCTGGTGCTGGCGGCAGCCTCCTGCTGAGCTCATCTCAGGGTATACAGCTGAAGTGGGGGCAGGGATGAGACCCATCACAGTGGCAACCCCAAATTAGCAGCATCCTTTGGTCCTAGAATTGGAAGTAAAGTTAATCCTTTCCAACTGCTGGGATCGGGTAAAGTGAGGCTGCTGGTTTTCTGAGACTCCAGACAGGGTGGAAGCAGGTGGTCACCTCCTAGGTTTTCATGCTAACTCCTCCTTTGGGAGGAGATGAGGAGTGGGAGAAGTGCCCCAGCCCTCAGGTGACCACTGGCCTTGCCCCTCCTCTGGCTAGGTGAGTGCCCCCTTTCCCCGGCCGGGGGCCAGCTTGGAGTTGTGTCGGAAGGCCCTAGCCCGCCAGCGAGCCCGGGACCTCAGTGAGACAGCCAGTGCACTGCTGGCCAAGGACAAGCAGATTGCTGCCTTGCAGCGGGAGTGCAGGGAGCTGCAGGCCAGGCTCACCCTGGTGGGCAAGGTGCGAGAAGGCCCTGCTCACCTCTTCCAGCTCGGCCCTGCGCAAGGCCATCTGCCTGTCGTGGGATGCGGACAAGATGTTAATGAGATGCAAATGAAACGGGAGGGTGGAGGTTGCTGGGAGTAGGTTCCCCTGGCAACGGCCCAGGTGGGAGAGGGGAGAAGGGGGTGGAGCCATGAGTCCCAGACCTGGGCATTTCTGTGCCCCAGGCTTAAGGTTGTGTGCCGGTGGGTCTGGCTGTATGCATCCACACACGCGTTGCGTGAACGGATATTCACAGGGCATTTAGCACAGTGCTGGGCACACATTGAGAGCACCCAGGAAATAAGTTACTAAGAATGTCCGCATACGGGCTCGCGGGAGCACGTGGGCACACACGCATGCACAGGTACCCAGGCATGTATGCATGGGAGGGTGTGCACATTCCGGCGCATCCGAGCCCCTCCAGCAAAGCAAAGGGCTCTGCCGGGGATGGATGGGGCGGGCAAGGGTTAGGCCTGACTCCCTCTCTGTCCCTGTGCCCTAAACTCAGGAGGGTCCCCAGTGGCTCCACGTGCGGGACTTCGATCGGCTGCTGCGCGAGTCCCAGAGGGAGGTGCTGCGGCTGCAGAGGCAGATCGCGCTGCGCAACCAGAGGGAGACGCCCCCACGCCCGCCGTCCCGGCCCCAGGGTCCTGCTCCCCAGGCCAGAGCAGGGGCGCCGGCTCCCGGGGCCCCGGGAGAGGTGAGCGCCGGCGCAAGGGCAGGTGTGTGGGTGCTTGCAGATGAGGGGTGGGGAGTGACCACCGGGATCTCCCCTCACTGTGCTCAGAACCCTAAGGACCCGGTGGTGGCGTGCGCATTCCCAGGGCCTGGGGAGCTTTCCCGTCCTGGGCAGGGTCCACCTCCAAGCCTCCCACGCTCGTACCTGCGCCGTGCCCTCCCCCGGGGGCTCCAGGGTTCCGCCCTCCGTAGGCCTGCGCCCAGCGGGGCCCGGCCGGCCGCCCCTGCCGCGCTGCCAGTGGTACAGCCCGGCCGCAAATCCCTGGTTGCCCTGGCAGCCGCCCGGGGCCCAGCCCTCACTGCCTCCTCCCGCTGCCGCCGTAGAGCGGGGACGCCCCAGTTAGCGCCCGCCTGGCTGGCCAGGCCTGGCCCCGGCTACCCGGGGGCGGCGGTACGTCCGCCCCAGCTCCAGGTACAGACGACCCTCACTGAGCGCGGGGCTTAGACAGCCCCTGTCTCGAGGGCCAGGGACGTACTCCGGACCCCCAGAACTTAGGGGTCTGGCTTCTCTCCATCATCCTAGGTGGGCAGCAAGTAGGTCCTCCTCTTCCTGGGAAGAGGGCTGGGAGGAGGGACCCGGTAGTGATCTGACAGTGACCAAGACCTCCGGGTAGGGGGGATGCTTCTTGCTCAGATTTTGTCTCTCTAGCTGGCCCTGGAAGGGAGAGGCACCTCCCATCAAGACCTGTCCTCCCCCAAACTTTGCATGGATAAATGGAAGGTGTGGTAGGGTGGGCTTGGGGGAAGCCAGGAGGAGGGTCTGGATGGGCCTGTGCTGCTCTAGGCCAAGCCCAGGTTTGGATGATACAGAACCCCTATCTTGGGGAGCACTACATCCCTGGGGGCCCAAGCAGCCTCCTAATTCTCTGCCAGTCGCTGAAGGACACCCAGGACAGTTATTGAGTGCAGAGCAGGGCTGCTGCTGGAAGCTAAAAAGGGAAAGCTTTGGCCTGGATAAAGGACCCATCTCCCAGGGCACACGTGGGTCCCAGGATCTCAAAGCACTTATGGCTCCAGGACACAGGGGTGCAGCCTTTGTACTTCTACATCAGCTGGAGGGGATGGGAGGGGGTGAGCAGACAGTACCCCTCTTTGCTCTTCCTAGGCAGGGACCTCTTGCTGGTGGCTGGGTGATGGGGTGGGAACCAGCCCTGGGCAGGCTGGGCTGGGGCAGGCTGCCCTGGGGCCCTGTTCTCAGGTGTCTGCCCCTTGTCTCTGGGCATTTCTAGGCCACGCCCCAGGAGGATGTGGACAACCTACCGGTGGTTCTAGGGGAGCCAGAGAAACAGCAGAGGGTGCAGCAGCTGGTAAGTCCTAGGTCAAGGGTTGGAGGCAGCCTGCTGAGGGCAGATGTACCTTCCCACATGAGGAGTCCTCGGTTCTGACCCCACAGGAATCAGAGCTCAGCAAGAAGCGGAAGAAATGCGAGAGCCTGGAGCAGGAAGCCCGGAAAAAGCAGAGGCGATGTGAGGAGCTGGTGAGCTCTTGAGGGCAGCTCAGAGGCGGCTCCTCCCTTCGCCCAGGCCAGCCAGGTGGTGGGCTCCCTCTCAGCTCCGCTTCCGCCCCTCCTGCCCTCAAGCACACCTGTTCCCCCCTGCTCCTCAGTGCTTTCCTTTCCTGGCTGGCGGAGGAAGGCCTGGCCTGGGAGGAGGGCAGGGTCCTGTGTGGGGAGAGGGGATGTGAGTGCTGGGCCTCCTCCTGAGAGCTCCTCTGCCCTGCTCAGGAACTGCAGCTGAGAGAAGTGCAGAATGAGAATGCCCGCCTGGTGGAGGAGAACTCCCGGCTCAGTGGGAGAGCCACAGAGAAGGAGCAGGTACCAGTTCTGACCAGGGGCCGTGGAGACTTGTGCTCCCCTCAGGGCCCCAGTCCCCAGCCAAGGGGCTTTCTTCTCCACCCCTGAGTCGGGGTAGGGGACTGTTCCCGCTGCAAGGGCACTCGTGGGTCAAGGCTCACCCACCCAGCTCCCTGCCACTGTCCCCTTGCCAGGTGGAGTGGGAGAATGTGGAGCTAAGGGGCCAGCTCCTGGGGGTGACACAGGAGAGGGACTCAGCCCTTCGCAAGAGCCAGGGCCTGCAGAGCAAGCTGGAGAGCCTGGAGCAGGTGCTGAAGGTGAGGGGATGGGGCAGGTCCATTCAGCAGGAGCTGAAGGGGAGGGTGCTGGGCCCTGGTGCGGGGAGCAAGTGGGACAGTAGAATGTGCTTAGGGAGGGACACTAGCTCTGAGGCCGAGGCCTGGAGCTGCCAGCTGCTCGCCTTCTCCAGACTCAGTTTCCTTTATACTAGGGGGATCTGCAGCAGATGGTGTTGGAAGCGTCCTCATCTTAGATCTTCTCTAGAAACGGCCAAGTGTGGGCTCTGGCCTTGACTTGGATCTTGTGTTTCAGCACATGCGGGAGGTGGCCCAGAGGCGGCAGCAGCTGGAGGTGGAGCATGAGCAGGCTCGTCTCAGCCTGCGGGAGAAGCAGGAGGAGGTCCGGAGGCTGCAGCAGGTGGGGCCGCCGTGAGGAAAGCTGGCGGGCTGCGGGACGGCAGCTTTGCCACTCACTCATTCAACAAACATTCACAGTGTGCCTGGCACTGTGCTAGACAGTAGGGAGACTGTGGAGAACAAAGACCAGGTCCCTGACCATCAGCAAATTCGCAGATCCATGAGTGAGCTGATTTCAGACACTGATGAGCACAGTGGTGGCGCAGAACAGGGTGATGTGACAGAGTGACTTGGGATGGGGCAAGGAGCCACTTCAGGTGACATCAGGGTGACAATTGAGCTTGCCAGGTGGGAGGAGTAGATGCACATGCTCTGTGGATGGAAGAGCTGGGGGAGTCTGAGCCCAGCGTGGCTGGAGGACAGCAAGCGATGGGCAGTGTGCGGGGAGTGGGCAAGAACTCCATCCTGCCGGGCCTTAAAGGCCATGGGAAGAGTTTGGGCATTCTGCTCTGTGAGTGGTTAGAAGCTCTTGAAAGATCCTAAGTGGGGGAGTGACATGATCTGAGTCATAATTTTATAGGATCACGTGGGTAGTATTGCGGAGGGTGGACTGTGGGAGCAGGCATGGAGCGGGGCCTGGGCGGGAGATGGCGGCTTTCTGGAGAGGGGTGCAGGCAGTGGAGGTGGAGAGAATTGACAAGGTTCCGGCCGGGCGAGGTGGCTCACACCAGGTCACTTGAGGTCTGGAGTTTGAGACCAGCCTGGTCAACATGGTGAATCCCCGTCTCTACCAAAAGTACAAAAATTAGCCAGACATGGTGGTGTGTGCTTGTAATCCCAGCTACTCGGGAGGCTGAGGCAGGAGAATCGCTTGAACCCGAGAGGCGGAGGTTGTGGTGAGCTGAGATGGTGCCACTGCACTCCAGCCTGGGTGACAGAACAAAACTCCATCTTAAAAAAAAAAAAAGTATTGACCGGGCTCCCTGTGGGATTCCAGTTGAATCCCTTCTCTGTCAGCCATTTGCTGTATAAACCCTGGTGGAGGGTGGGGCTTTTCACACCAGGAAAGGTGAAGGATGAAGGGGCAGCAGATCTGAGAGGTCGGGAATCCTGAGTGCTGAGTTCCGTTTTGGTCATGTTTGGGCTGCGTGTTAAACGTTCAAAGGGAGCTGTCCATGGGCACTTGGATGCATGAGCCTGGGGTTATGGGCAGGTTGGTCTTGGAGCTATTTGGAGCCATCAGTGTGCTCAGTTGTAGGAGTCGATGGGAGCCCTAGGGAGAGATTAGACAGTATAAACTGGGCCCAGCACTGGCTCCAGAGACACCCTAACATTGAAAATGGGGGGCAGGAAGCAGGCAAAAGGGACTGAGATGGAGCATCCAGAGAGGTAGGAGGGAAACCGGGAGGATGGTTGCCCAGGAAAGAGGGGAGCAGAGGTAGGTCACGCCTCTCCTGGACCCCTTTGCCTTCTGGTCTAAGGCATGGTTGAGGGTGGGTGTTGAGGAGGGAGAAACCCTTCAGCCTCCCGCTTCCCTGCCCCTCCCTCCTCTCTCCCTGCCCTTTTCTCTCTCCCAGCCTCTTCCTCCCCTGCCTCAGTCCTTTCCCCCTCCCTCCCTCGCATCCCTCTTCGCTCCACCCTGTTCCTTATCCTTCCCTCCAGCATTTTGGTTCCTCCCACCTGTAGGCCCAGGCAGAAGCCAAGAGGGAACATGAAGGGGCCGTGCAGCTGCTGGAGGTAGGACCCCTGAAAGTGGCCCCTGTTCCACCTTCTTGCAAGGAAGGCAGGGGAGCGCCAGATAGAGCTGGGATGGACTATGGCGGTGGGGAGAGGGGTTGCAGGAGGGACTCTTAAATGCTCCAAGGCCTGGGGGAGCTCCATCCACCATTGGTCTAGTTCTCAAGGTGGGCATGGCTGACAGGGGGCTCCTAAGCCTGGTGGCAGCAGCCTCCCATTGCTGCCACTCCCAGAGGCTGCCTTCACCCCGAGGTAGCCTTCCGTTTAGGGACGGCTAGTCAGTCCAGGGAGCGGACTGGATGGCGTCCACTTAGGCCCTCTTCTCCCCCGCCCTCTCTGGTTAGCGACCCACAGGCTCAGGGGTCTAACCTGTTCTCTGCTTCCTTTCCTGCCTCAGTCTACCCTGGATTCCATGCAGGTAGCGCCCCGCTCTCCCCTTCCCCACACCTCTCTAGGCTGGCTGAGCTGCAGCTCCTCCCTCAGGGCCCAAGCAGTCCTCCTCTCTCCTCCAGCAGAGCGGGTGTCACGGGGAGCAGACCTGAGAATCCATAGGGGGTGGGGTTCCTACAGGACAAGTGCCGCTGTCCCCTCCTCCCAGGCCTGCCACAGTGTCTGGCAGACACAGGGCCTCCGCTCTCTAGCCGCCCTGAGCTTGAGGAAGTTCATCCCCAGTCTAACTCAGGAGCTCTCCCTATTGGCCAGAGAGAGACCCTGCTTTTGGGACTCTCCTCAGGCCTGAGAAAACTTCCCGGGGCGTTGGCCCATTCCCATCACGAAGACATCTCTGCTCCCCTGTGGCACTTCCTGGCCCCTCCTCTGAGGGAAGGGGTTTGGGTTGCTGACTGTGGAAGGGTGATGGGTGGCGGGGCTGAGAAAACTCCCGTTGGTGATGATGGGGTGGGAATGATCACTGATGGCCCAGAAGGTAGCCAGAGGCAGAAGTGCCATTGCCTCCAGCCCGAGGGTTGGCGAGTGCGTGGCAGCCCCAGCCTTTGCTCTGGAGGGGCCTGGGGTGAAGGTGCCTCAGGACACGGCCAGGAACTTCCCCCTCAGCTCTGATGCGTTCGGGGCAGCGGCAAGGCTGGTGCTGAGGCCTGGGGCTGGGTGAATGGGTGTGACCCGAAACCCAGAGTAGGGCTGTGTGGAGAGGGCATGGGCTGGCACTGGGCAGCTTTGTGGGGCCTGGTGGCTCATGGTGGGTCTTGGCCAGGCCCGGGTGCGAGAGCTCGAGGAACAGTGCCGCAGTCAGACCGAGCGCTTCAGCCTCCTGGCTCAGGAACTCCAGGCCTTCCGCCTGCACCCGGGCCCCTTGGATCTGCTCACCTCTGCCCTGGACTGCAGGACGCTTGGAGACCGCCCACCACCCCCGTGCTGCTGCTCCACCCCCCAGCCTTGCCGGGGATCTGGCCCCAAAGGTACGGGGGACACCAGTGGTATTGGCCTGGAATCTCCAGGCCTGGGCTTTTGTATAGAGCAGGGAGTTCAGGATCAGAGAAGGCCAACAACTTATCCAAAGTCACACAGCAGGTTAGAGTCGTGCCTGGCTAGAACCACGTTCTTCTGGGGAAAAATAAAGCCCAGGAGAGTGACTGTCCAGAGTCTAGCCCAGGCATCTTGGGTCATTGTTCTTCTCCTTCCAAAAAGACCTGAATGGTCAGGGCTAGGAGGCGGCGCAAGCAGTCAGTAGCAGGTAGTGTGGTCTTGTGGAGTAGGGGCTTGGGAGTCAGTTGGATCTGGTGGTCCCAGCTCCACTCATCTGACAGTCACTTTGATTTGAGAATGCGGCTTAACCTCTCTGGGCCATAGTTTCTTAAGCTGAAAGACAGGAATAATTAAATGCATCTCATCGAGCTGCTTTGATGATCATGTGAAATAATATATGTAAATCAGCTATACCTCTATTTAGTAAGTTTCTTGCTAAATATTTCCCTTTTTGTAAGGAAGTCCGGCTGTGGAGGGCCTGGCCCCCATATCCAAGAAGCACCACCCTATCTCCCTGGTCCCTCCTCAGGCCACAGACCCCAAGCCCACGTGCCATCTTCTCTTTAGACCTTGACCTCCCGCCGGGCTCCCCCGGGCGCTGCACCACAAAGTCTTCTGAGCCTGCCCTTGCCACCCTCACTGGGGTCCCTCGAAGGACAACCAAGAAGGCAGAGTCTCTCTCCAACTCCTCCCGCTCCGAGTCCGTCCACAACAGCCCCAAGTCATGCCCTACACCTGAGGTTAGTGCTGGGGTGGGTCCTGAAGTTCCGGCTTTGGCTTGGGGAAGGGGGCAGGACAGGTGGCCCTGACCTCTTCTGGGATCCCCAGGAGTTGGGTGGCAACTTCTGGGGTCTCAAGTTGGGAGGTAGGAGGCCTGTGGATTCCTCCTGCGGGCGAGGGGCTCAGGTGGAGCCATCCCTGCTCTCCATGGCCTGCCTGCAAGCCCCACCCGGGGCCATCCCACCTGGGACCACCCTGGGATGCCCAGGGAGGCTCTGGAGTGCTGGGCTGGATGGAGGTGACACTTGGGCACCAGGATCTGCACAATGAGACTATTCCCAAGAGCGTCTGTAGTGAAAGCAGGTGGTTGTGTGAGAAAGAGCACATGCTCCAGGATTCCAATCCCAGCTTTGCCTTAGGCAAGTCACTGAGCCTTTCTGGGCTTCGGTTTCCTTATCTGAATCTTGGAGCTAATAAAACCTGCCTTCTAAGGTTGTAGTGAGGGTTAAATAAGTAAGGAACGTGCCTGTCTCGGTGCTGGGCACACAGTAGATGCTCAACAGGGGGCAGCTGTTATTATTACTAAGCTCCTGGGCATTACTCATAGCTCATCTCATCAACTCATCCTTCTTTCTACCCAAAAACCCCAGAAGGTGGAGGGGGCAGGTCAGGAGCAGCTCTGCGAGCCAAACATTCAGGAAGTGTTAGAATGCAGCCCTGGGCCTCTACTGCCCCCTCGTGGGATAGAAGGGTAGTGCCAGCTTCAGATGTGGCCGTGGAGGGGCTGCCTGCTTGTTCTCCTTCTCCCAGGCATTGGCAGAGAAGAGAAGACAGCCTATTCCCCAGGCCACTGCAGCAATCGCAACAGTGTTCTCAATCAGGGTGCCCCAAGGCTGGGGTGCCTTGGGATGTGGGAAGTAGACAGCAAGTTCTGAGTTCCAGAGCTGAACGGCAGAACACTGTCACTTGGCTAGACGCAGGGACCTCTCAGGCTCCTTCAGCCTCCTTGCTTCCAGCGATTTACAGTTGGGGTGCTTTGCCAAGGTTTTTTTTTTAGTTTTTTTTTTTTGGAATTTTTAAATTTTTTAAAAATTTGAGACAGGGTCTCGCTCTATGGCCCAGGCTGCAGTGCAGTGGTGCGCTCTCGGCTCACTGCAACCTCTGCCTCCAGGTTCAAGTGACCCTCCCACCTCTGTCTCCCAAGTAGCTGGGACCACAGGCATGCACCACCATACCCAGCTAATTTTTGTATTTTTAGTAGAGATGGGGTTTTGTTATGCTTCCCAGGCTAATCTCAAACTCCTAGCTCAAGGGATCCACCTGCCTCAGCTTGCCAAAGTGGTGGGATTATACGCATGAGCCACTGCATCTGGCAACATTGCTAAGTTTTTACCTTAAGGAGCCACACTGCTGTTGACATCCACTCCCCACGCCAGCATGGCCTGTGCCCCTCTGAGAGGAGGGAAGTGGCCTTATTCCCTGGAGGGTGCATAGAGGCCCAGGGAAGGGTTAGAGTTATCACCACCGCCTCTGCCCAGGCCTGCCTCAGGTACTGAGAGGGCAGCAGGGGACCCTTCCCACTGGCCTTGTGCAGCACAGATGTACTCACTTTCCATCCTCAAAGCAATAGGTCCTCTGGCTCAGCCTGGAAACCTGCATGGTTGGCGTTGGGCCCCAGGCCCTGAAGAGGAATCAGCCCTTTCTCTTTGCCCCCAGGTGGACACAGCCAGTGAGGTAGAGGAGCTGGAGGCGGACAGTGTCTCCCTGCTCCCAGCCGCACCAGAAGGCAGCCGGGGAGGAGCCAGGATCCAGGTCTTCCTAGCGCGTTATAGGTGGGTCCCTCACCCTCACCGCCCCGAACTCGCCCCCAGCATTTGGGGTGTATGCAAGGAGGGGGCCGGGTGGAGATAGAGGCCTCTGGAAGTGGTGGGGGTGGTGCAGGACCCAGTGGCCCTATTCATATAACCTAGTTAAGCCAGAGTGGGCGCAGTGAGGGTTGTGATTTGCTAGCAGTGGGCAACCACAACCAAGTCTCCATAAAGGCTCAGTGCAGTGGGGGAGAGAAGACACGACATGGGAGTGGAAAGTAGGTCACTCTCCTCCTCCTCTGTGCCTCCAACAGCTACAACCCCTTCGAGGGCCCCAATGAGAATCCAGAAGCAGAGCTTCCGCTGACAGCTGGCGAGTACATCTACATCTATGGCAACATGGATGAGGATGGCTTTTTTGAAGGTAGGAAGGTAGTGGGGGTCATTCTGTCCATTCCCCTGCCTTTGAGCCCATGTTCCCAAAGACCTCCATCTGTCCGTTCGTCCATCCATCCATCCACCCATCCATCCATTCTCTCATCCTCTCTGTCCAGCGTGCTCAGCCCACCTTAACACTTTGGACTCAGCTAAAAGGCATACAGAGACCTGGTGGCCACTGAGGAAAGAGAAAGAAGGGGGTCTGGCTCCAAGCAGGGCAGGACAGCATAGTCCATAGTCCATAGATGGTGGGGAGAGTGTCTCAGGAGATGTTGGCTAGATTCATTTTTGTGTGGATAGTCAGGGCATGGCAGTATTTCACCCTAGTGGCACCTGAGGTCAGGTTTGCAGCATAGATTTGATGCTGGACTCCAGTCAGGTATGAGAAGGAGGAATCAGGGTAAAGATCCCAAGGGAAGGTGTTTGTGAGCAGTTAGTGGCTGTCAGGACCCAGGCAGGGAATGAGCTTCAGGGCAGTTCTGCAGCTCCTGTGGGGAGTCAGAAGACTGATGAGGAAACTAAGGCAGAGGCCTCATTGAGACTGGGCACCATGGGCCTGTGGAAGACATGCCCTTGGGAGACTCTCTTGGGGTGGCTGTGGCCTGGGTACCACCAGGCTGAGTCTATCAGCAGCAGAGAGGATGACACAGTGTAGAGAATTGGAGCTGGTATGGACAGGGCAGGGTGAGAGCCACAGCTGTGTGCAGAGATTTAGGAACAGGCTTCGCTCTGAATCTGTAACCCTGGAAGCTTGGGAGCCCACTCAGCTTCTTTTCCCTGGGTCCTCTGCTTTGTCATTTGAGGAGCTGCTGGGACTCACGGCACCCGGCTTTGTGCACTTAAACTCCCCACAAGGGTAGATTACGAAGATCAAGGTTAATAAAAAGCTTTCAGGAAAACTATACTTTACAAATGAAGAAAAAAAAAAAACAACCCCAAATCAAAAACCAAAACCCAAACACCTTTTTTTTTTGGAGGGGGGCTGCAAAGGCGTAAGTATTAACTAATCACAAATGACTAGAATTTGAACTCTGCGATCTGGGATAAACTGGGATAGATGTAAAGGCCGGTAGACCACTGGGCGTGAGATGCCATATTCCCTGTCCAGCCTTAGCTGAAGGACTTCTTCCTCTATGTCCGGGCCACCTAGGCTGTTCTCAGCCGTGTGGGCTTCTGGAGCCCATGCCTGCCTCTGGCCCAGGCTCCAGCTTCAGCCCTGCAGGCTGGAGATCCTCTTAGTGTGAAGACCCTGCCTTTCATCTTCACTCCACAGTGCTAGCGCTTATGATCACCTCCTAGGGCTGCAGGAACATACTTCCATGGAGCGGCTTCAACAATAGACATTGATTCTCTCACTGGCCTCTTCTGGCGGCCAGGAATCTGAAATGAAGGCATTGGCAGAAGTGCGTGCCCTGTGGGGGCTCTTGGGGAGGTTCCGTTCCTTGTCTCTTTCAGCTTCTGGTGGCTCCAGTTGTTCCTTGGCTGATGGCCACCTCACTTCAGTCTCTGTGTCTGTGGTCACCATCGCCTTCTCCTCTCCGTGTGTCAGGGTTTCTCCTCTGTGTGTCTGTTATAAGAACGCTTGTCATTAGATTTAGGATCCACCCAGATAATCTAGGATGATCTCATCTCAAGATCCTTCACTTAATTACATCTGCAAAGACGCTTTTTCCTATCAGGCCATGTTCACAAGTTCCAGGGATTAGAACATGGACATGTTTTTGGGTGGCCACCATTCAACCCTCTACAGTGTTAATTGCATCATCGAATTTATTTGTCCCTATTGTTTCTTCAGATTTCCTTACTTTTTATTTTTTTTATTTTTATTTTTTTTCTAGCATAGGCAGAGAGAGAGGGTGGAGGTGGAGGGCACAAATGACTGTTGGGGAAACTCCAGGCCCCCCTGCAGCTCAGACCTGCCTACACTCTCCCCTCTGCCCTAAGCCCTGGCTCGTGCTCCCCCTTCCTCCCAATAAGACACACCAGCTACCAGCTGTCTGTTCCCTCAGAATTTTTTTTCTTCTTTAAATTGGCCGTGACATGACATGCTGGGTGCCCAACTTCCTTGATATCCCTCAATCAAACAACAACAGCAAATGTTTTAAAACAGGAGAACTGACACAGGTAACAAAACGTAATCATTGGTGGCTGCCTGGATTGACTGCTGTCAGTCATGCTCCTAGATGCAAGCCTGCTGGCGTCCTGGTCCTTCCGGAACCTACAAGTGACTCTTTTCGCTAGCACTTACTTCCTTTATCTCTAAAGATTCCTCCCCTTACCCTGCTGAGTTGGTTCCCTCTCTCTCCCTCTGTGGATGTCTGCTGTTCACAAAGGGAAATTGAGGGACACCCCAGCCCCTACTCCTCAGGCCCAGGTAAAACTCAATCAGCAGAATTTTTTTTTTTTTTTTTTTTTGGAGACAGCATCTTGCCCAGGCTGGAGTGTAGTGGCTCAATTACGGCTCACTTGTAGCCTCTGCCTCCTGGGTTCAAGAGATTCTCCCACCTCAGGCTCCTGAGTAGCTGCAACTACAGGTGTGCTACCACTCCCAGTTAATTTTTGCATTTTTTATAGAGATGGGGTTTTGCCATGTTGCCCAGGCTGGTCGCAAACTCCTAGGCTCAAGTGATCTGCTCGCCTCTGCCTCCTGAAGTTCTGGGATTATGGGCATAAACCACCAAGTCCAGCCAGTTTTCTCATCTTAACCTGCTTATTTTTAAAAACTTTAATATGCAATTATTATTATTGCAATTTTTAACACAAAAGTTTTTTCAAACGTATAGAATAGCACAATGACCACTTACATATACCCACCACTTAGATTCAACAATTGTTAACATTTTCACGTATTTGCCTTATCTATATGTAAGTTAAAAATTATTATAAGGCCAGGCGTGGTGGCTCACGGCTGTAATCCCAGCACTTTGGGAGGCCGAGGCGGGTGGATCACCTAAGGTCAGGAATTTGAGGCCAGCTTGGTTAACATGGTGAAACCATGTCTACTAAAAATACAAAAAATAGCTGGGCATGATGGTGCACGCCTGTAATTCCAGCTACTTGGAAGGCTGAGGCAGGAGAATCACTTGAGTCCAGGATGGGGAGGTTGCAGTCAGCTGAGATTGTGCCATTGCACTCCAGCCTGGGCAGCAAGAGCGAAACTCTGTCTCAAAAAAAAAAAAAAAGGATTTAAAAAACATTATGACATTTTACCTTGAAATACTCAACATGCTTACTTAGAACATGATATTCTCCTCCATCCTTGCAGCCCCAGCATCACCTGGGAGCTTATTAAAACCAAGAATCTCAGCCCCATCCAGACCCAACTGAGTTAGAATCTGTATTTTAAAAAATCTCCAGGTGATTCATGTGGATATTAAAATTGAAGGAGCACTGTCCTAAACAACCACAATGCTATTATATCAGACCTACCTCTATCCAGGTCTTTACGGCTCTTGCCTTTTAAAAGAATTGACAGTAAAATGTTGATTTGAATAAAATGCTTAAGATCACCTGCTAGCAGTTGCTAAAATGCATTTATTATACCGTTTTTTCTTTATCCCGTCTCTGTCTTTCCCTGTTCTGTCTGTTCCTGTCCTCCTCCTGCCAGGCGAGCTCATGGATGGCCGAAGGGGCCTGGTCCCTTCCAATTTTGTAGAGCGTGTGTCGGACGATGACCTCCTGACCTCCCTCCCTCCAGAGCTGGCTGACTTGTCCCACAGCTCAGGGCCTGAACTCAGTTTCCTGAGTGTGGGTGGGGGTGGCAGCAGCAGCGGGGGCCAAAGCAGCGGGGGACGGAGCCAGCCCAGACCCGAGGAGGAGGATGCAGGGGACGAGCTCAGTCTGAGCCCATCACCGGAGGGCCTGGGCGAGCCTCCTGCTGTGCCTTACCCCCGCCGTCTGGTGGTCCTCAAGCAGCTGGCCCACAGCGTGGTGCTGGCCTGGGAGCTGCCTCCAGAGCGAGTGGAGCTACACGGCTTCCATATCTCTGTGAATGGGGAGCTGCGACAGGCCCTGGGGCCCGGGGCGCCACCCAAGGCTGTGCTGGAGAACCTGGACCTGGGGGCCGGGCCCCTTCACATTTCTGTCCAGGCCCTGACCAGCCAGGGCAGCTCCGACCCACTGCGCTGTTGCTTGGCGGTGGGTGCCCGGGCCGGAGTGGTACCCAGCCAGCTGCGGGTCCATCGGTTGACAGCCACATCTGCTGAGATCACCTGGGTGCCCGGCAATAGCAACTTGGCCCATGCCATCTACCTCAATGGGGAAGAGTGCCCACCTGCCCGCCCCAGTACCTACTGGGCCACCTTCTGCCACTTACGGCCTGGCACACCCTATCAGGCCCGAGTGGAGGCTCAGCTCCCACCCCAAGGGCCCTGGGAACCAGGCTGGGAGAGGCCGGAGCAGCGGGCTGCCACCCTGCAGTTCACCACACTCCCAGCAGGTATGTGGGCTTGGGCCCTGAGGTCCAGAACACCCAGGAGACCAGGCCACAGTGATGGAAGAAGGGGACCCTGGTCTTGTTTGCGTTATCAAGGAAATGGCAAATTGGGCAGATATCTCTGATGGGGAGCATCCTGCATCACTGGGTCTTGTGACTCCCTGCCCCCAGGCCCGCCTGATGCCCCCCTGGATGTGCAGATTGAGCCTGGGCCCTCCCCTGGGATCTTGATCATCAGTTGGCTCCCAGTCACCATTGATGCTGCTGGCACATCCAACGGTGTCCGGGTCACAGGCTATGCCATCTATGCTGATGGGCAGAAGGTATGGCTCTGCCTGCTGTACTCTGGGAGTACAGGTGGGTCCCTCCTTGCTATGCCCAGAGGCCTAGGCTCTCTGGCCTGGCACAGAGATGCCCAGCCCCTGGCATTTGGGCACCAGGAAGCAGATGAGTTAAGAGCATGGGCTTTGGCAGCACATGATGGATTTTAGAACTGTTCCACCATTGAAGCCATGGGCCAGGAGGATGCAATGAGATGGGTCATTCAGGGGGGCTTAGCGCCTGCCTGGCCTAACACTAGTTGCCGCTGCTGGCAGTGTGTCCTCAGGCTTGGCTGTCTCAGCCTCTGCTTGTCGTCTCCTGTCCCTCCGCCCTGCAGATCATGGAGGTGGCCTCGCCCACGGCAGGCAGTGTGCTGGTGGAGCTGTCCCAGCTGCAGCTGCTGCAGGTGTGCCGCGAGGTGGTCGTGCGCACCATGTCGCCCCACGCTGAGTCGGCAGACTCCATCCCCGCTCCCATCACTCCTGCCCTGGCTCCGGCCAGCCTGCCAGCTCGAGTCTCCTGCCCCTCACCACGACCAGGCCCAGAGGCCAGAGCACCCCTTGCTTCAGCCTCCCCAGGGCCTGGAGACCCCAGCTCTCCTCTCCAGCACTCTGGTCCCCTTGGAACTCAAGAGCCCCCAGGAGCACCCCCTGCAAGCCCTTCCAGAGAGCTGCCAAAAGGGGTCCACGAGGACCCTCCAGCACCTTGCTCCCAGGTACCCTGTCCAGGGAGAGGGGAGCAGGTGCTGGCTGGGAGAGGGGCCTGGGCTTGGGCCCTTCCTCAGTGCCCTCTGTTCCAGGGGGAGGCTGGGGCAGCGGTGCTGGGCACCTCAGAGGAGAGGACAGCCACCACGTCCGCTCTGGATGAGAAGGACCCTGGCCCCGCAGTTCCCTCACTGGCTGAGCAGGAGGCCGAGTGGACTGCAGGAGAGGCCTGCCCAGCCCCCAGCTCCGCTCAGGGAGCACTGGCCCCACAGGGGCTGAACACAGAGATGTGCCAAGGAGGAGACCCAGGGTCTGGGCTGAGGCCCAGGGCTGAGGTAGGGGTTCAGGGACACACTGTGTCACTTCAGAGGGCCTGCCTGCCTACCTTCTGCCAGCCCACATTCCGCTTTCTCTGCCTGTCCTCTGCTCTGGTGCTGCTCCGATGCCTTTGCTGGGCCGTGTGTCTGTTTTTCTTCTCGGATTTCTCTGTCCCATGTGGCTCCCATCTCCCTTCTCCCACCCTGCCCACGACCCATTGTGTATGTCCCCCATTTAGGACGTGGCTCTTTCTCCCTCTGCCAAAGGACCCCTGTTATTGTGGCTGGAGCTGACCCTACCTAGAGCCCCCTTTGCCCACTCACTGCCCTCCCTGTCTCTCCTGCCTTGCCTTGCTTGCAGAAGGAGGACACGGCAGAGCTTGGGGTTCATCTGGTGAACTCCCTGGTGGACCACAGCCGAAACTCAGACCTGTCAGACATCCAGGAGGAAGAGGAGGAGGAGGAGGAGGAGGAGGAGGAAGAAGAGCTGGGTTCCAGGACTTGCTCCTTCCAGAAGCAGGCTGCTGGCAACAGCACCAGGGAGAATGGGGCCAAGGTAACGGGGTAGGGATGGGGTGCTGGGCCCCAGGCCTCAGACTCTGGGGCCTCCACCCTGTGCATCAGCAGCTGCTCTGACCACCACTGAGTGCCAGCAACATTGTAGGTCTGTGGCCTGGGCGCTGTCCTAAGCAGGAGATGGGAAGAGGCCCAGGATCAGCCTCTGCCCTCCTGGAAAGAAAGGGGAAGAGGAGGAGCTCATTTCAGCACCTTCCCTCCAGCCCACCAGATGCAGCTCCCTGGCCAGGGGAGACTGGTGCCACCTAAGATCCTTGTGCTGGGAGCTTCTGGAGAGGGGATGGGGAGGCCTCCTCCTCAACGCTCCTGTCCCACGGGGGCCAGTGGCCGTTCCTCGGGTGTGTTCCCTGATTCTTCCTTTGGCTCTCTCTGGATATGTGTGCAACTTTGGGCCAGCCACTGTCCCTCTGGTTCTTTCCTCTTGGAGGACGCTGTGGGAGGGCTGTGGTGTCGTCCGTAACCCCTGCCTCTCTCCTCTTCCCCACACATCTCTCTTCCCTGTTGCTTTCTGCTCGCACCCCCTCACCTCCACCAGTCCCAGCCCGAACCCCTTTGTGAGACTGACAGCGATGAGGAGATCTTGGAGCAGATCCTGGAGCTGCCCCTCCAGCAGTTCTGCAGGAAGAAGCTATTTAGCATCCCCGAGGAGGAGGAGGAAGAGGAGGAGGAGGAGGAAGAGGAGGATGAGGAGGAGAAGCCAGGGGCAGGCTGTTCTTCCCAAGACCCTGGCCAGCCTGAATCTGCGTTGCTGGGGCTGGGCTGTGACAGTGGTCAGCCCCGAGGACCTGGCCAGTGTCCCTTGTCTCCTGAGCCCTCCAGGGCTGGAGACTGCCTGGAGGACATGCCTGGAGGAAGCAGCCGGAGGAGAGGAGGGGGGTCCCCTGAGAAGCCCCCAAGCCGCAGGCGGCCTCCAGATCCCCGTGAACACTGCAGCCGACTTCTCAGCAACAATGGGCCCCAGGCCTCTGGACGACCAGGCCCCACAAGGGAGAGGGGTGGCCTCCCTGTAATTGAGGGCCCCAGGACTGGACTAGAGGCTAGTGGGAGAGGGCGGCTGGGCCCTTCCCGGAGGTGCTCCCGTGGCTGGGCCCTGGAACCTGGCCTGGCCAGCTGCCTTTCCCCTAAGTGCTTGGAAATCAGCATTGAATATGATTCGGAGGACGAACAGGAGGCGGGCAGCGGGGGCATCAGCATCACCAGCTCCTGCTACCCCGGAGATGGGGAGGCCTGGGGCACAGCAACCGTAGGAAGGCCCAGGGGGTCTCCGAAGGCCAATTCAGGCCCCAAACCCTACCCACGCCTCCCGGCCTGGGAGAAAGGGGAGCCAGAGCGGAGAGGCCGCAGTGCGACGGGCAGAGCCAAGGAGCCACTCTCCCGGGTCCGTGCTCACTCCCCGCCCTGGGCAGCCCCTGCCTGCTGCCGCCTGGTGGCCCTGCTTGCTGCCCACCAGCAGCTCCCATTCCACGCTGCCACCTCCATCAGCAGAGGTGGGCGGGGCCTCCGGGTTCCCCCAGCTGCCTCCTCCCACCCACATTCCACTGCTTTGCTGCTTCTGCTGATCAGAACTGGGGTGCACACTACTCATTCTGTCACTGGTCACCAGTTGCGGCCTTTGGGCAGGGTTGCCCTTTTCCTCTGCATAGCTAGTTATGGCTTCAGGATGCTGACGTGATGCCAGGGCAGGGTCACCTGCCTCGATGCTGACGGGAGGCCCTCCTCTCGCAGGCTCCTCAGCCAACTCAAGTCCCCTCTACTCCACTCATCTGCTTGGGGGTTGGGGCTGGGGCCTCCCCTCCACCCTCCCTCCCACTGTGGGGGTGTCCGAGTTCTCCAGCAGGCCCGGCCGGCCAAGGCTCCAGGAGAGGAATGCTGTGCTGCTTACGCTGCTGGGGCAGAGCTGGGGAACACGGGCCTTCCAGAGGGATGGTGTGTTACTCCTGCCATCTCTTACCCTCTTTCTGCAGGCGACAGAGACTGGAGAGTCCAGAGGGCAGGACGGCTCTGGGCGGAGGGGCCCCCAGAAGAGAGGTGCCCGAGTCCCCAGGCCAAGCATTGCAGAGCTGGGTGAGCACCTGATGGGGGTTGGGCTAGGGCCCGTGGGCCAGAGCTCACTGTCTCCACTGTCTCCACAGTCCCTGTGAGGAGCCCCTCGGAAGCACTGGCTTACCAGCACCTACCCATCAGGATCTTTGTGGCTCTATTTGACTATGACCCTGTGTCAATGTCGCCTAATCCCGATGCTGGAGAAGAAGAGCTTCCCTTCCGAGAGGGTCAGATCCTGAAGGTGACTGATTCGCCATCAGGGTTCGAAGCGCCAAACGCCAGCTAGGTTTTCCTTCCGCTCTCCTTTCCTCCACTGGAGGTATCACTGAATCATGGTGGAGAACATGGCTTCTAGAGCAGATGATGTGGGTTTGGACCCTGACTCTGCTCCTTCCAGCTGTGTAACCTTGTGTATATTACCTAGACCCTCTGGGTCTGTTTTCTTGTTGGTAAAATGGGGTTAATATTAGTGTCTACCTCACAGGGTGGTTTTTGGATTAAATGATTCAATGTACATAAAGTGCTTAAACTACCAGGCACACAGACGGCACAATCTATCATTACTGTTTTATTATTCCTCCAGTATTGGTTGAAGGCATGTTGCTATCGCTCTGAGGTTAAGGAGATCCAGTCTGGGGTGGGTGAATGGCATGGCGGTGTAGACAGTGGATGGGATGATACAGAAAGGGCTGTTTCCTCCTGTCCCCCAGATTGTGTTCTTTGCTGTTTTCCCTGTTTCCCATTCCATAGTCTACAAAGGGAGAGCACTCGTCTGCAGTTCCAAATGGGGTGCTGCTGGGCTCGGGGCCTGGGGGCACAGGGAGCAACAGAATTGGCTGAGACCACTGGCCTTTGCCTCCAGGTGTTTGGGGACAAGGATGCCGACGGCTTCTACCGGGGCGAAGGTGGGGGCCGGACAGGCTACATTCCCTGCAACATGGTGGCTGAGGTGGCTGTGGACAGCCCTGCCGGGAGACAGCAGCTGCTCCAGCGGGGTTACTTGTCCCCAGATATTCTCCTCGAGGGCTCAGGTATGGCCAGCTGCTGTCCCTCACCCGCCTCCCACCAGCCCCCTTCCAACTCCACCTGACCCTGAGCAGTCAGTGTGTCTGGGGTGCCCCGCTTACCCAGACTCTAACAGAGCCCTGGAGCCTTGAGAACCCTGCGGCAAGGCAGTCAGTCGGCACGTGGGCTGGCGGCGGGGGGTGGGTGTCTGCTGCTGCGGGGAACTCGGCCTTGCAGCCAGGAATTTTGGCTCCTGTAGGTCAGGTGGGGCTCTTGTCAGGGATGGGAGATGAATGCCCTTGCAAAACAAGCTCAGTAACCCAGCACAGCCCTGAGAGGAAACTACAGACTACCGATCCTGTCTCCCCACACCTCCCCTGCCTCACTTTCTCTCCTATTTCTACCTGCTTTTCTGGATCAGGGAATGGTCCCTTTGTGTACTCCACAGCCCGCACAGCTGGGCCTCCTCCCAAGCCCCGCCGCTCCAAAAAGGGTGAGTAAGACTCCATTCTGTCTCACGTGCTGGGAGGGTGTGTGTGCGGGTGGGTGGCACCGCTTGGCTGTCTGGGGAGGTGCCTGTGGGGTTTTGAGCAGGTAAAGGGAATCAGGGCAGACGGCTCACATCCCCTGCCTCCCCCGGTGGGGTCTTTGTTCTGGTGGGGATGAGGGATGGCTTGTGGAGCTCTATGTCCCCACAGGAACCTGACTGTAAAAATCTGTGAACCCTAGAGCTTGCCATTTTCCCTTTCTGGGTGTTAGTTCACCACCACACTGAGGGGTTGTGCAGATATGCCCCCAGCAACCTTCCCTGCCCGCCTCCTTGCTTGTGGGCGAGCGTCCAGCCTGCTCTGCAGCTTCTGCAGCCTGGGCGAGGAGGTGGGATGGGGCTCACAGTCTTGTTCTTTCCACAGCTGAGTCTGAAGGCCCTGGCCAGCCCTGTCCAGGTGAAGGAGTATCCCCGGTGGGCCCGGGAGGCTGGGGAAGGAGATAGGGTGGGTGGTCCCTCTGACCTGGCCCCAGGGGCTACAACTAGTGGGGATGTGGTGACAGGGCGTCAGCAGGAGTCCCATGCGGAGGACAGGGTGGGGTATAGGGCTCTCCAGTGAGTCCGGTGTCTTCTCCTCCTCCCCCTGCAGGCCCCCCCAAGCTGATCCCCTCTGCTGACCTGAAAGCTCCCCGCTCCATGGTGGCTGCATTTGACTACAACCCCCGGGAGAGTTCCCCCAATATGGACGTGGAGGTGAGGACCCTTAGATAGAGCCCAGCGAAGAGGGTGGTGGCGGAGCCTTCCTGGGCCTGATGCCACCTCTCGTTTACCACAGGCAGAGCTGCCCTTCCGGGCAGGGGACGTCATTACTGTGTTCGGAGGCATGGACGATGACGGTTTCTACTATGTGAGAACATTGTTGGGGAGGAGTGTACCACACCCCAGTCCCCCGGCCTTCCCGAGGGGGCTCTCCCAGAGCCAGGGAGGGAGATGGGCAAGGGAGCCTCAGGAAGCCTGGAGGAATGGAACAGGTCACGTCCCTGGACAGTGGTTTTGGCTCCAGCTGTTCCCCAGGGGCATCAGGGTCGAGGGGCAGGGCTAAGCCTCTTTCCTGATCTCAGTCTCACCAGCCTCTCCCCTCCAGGGGGAATTGAATGGACAAAGGGGCCTGGTTCCATCCAACTTCCTGGAGGGCCCTGGGCCTGAGGCAGGCAGCCTGGACAGGGAGCCCAGAACATCCCAGGCTGAGAGTCAGGTCAGTGGGGAGCTGGGCTCCCAGCTCGGCAGGATGGTGTACCCTGCTGGTGGGGTGGTGGGGCCAGGGAGTGTTGCCACAGGAGTGCAGCTGGGGTGATCATGCAGGTAAGCACTATGTCCCGAGAGGAGCCCCTGAGTGATCACCAGAGGGGAGCCCCACCTGGCAGCTGCCCCCCCGTATGTACCCTCTGCAGAGGGGTGATAGCTGTGACCCTGACCCCCAGGCCATCTGACCTGGCTGCCAACACCTGCTGACACAGGTGAGGGGGCCCTGAGGAAAAGGACCCCTCTGGCCAATCAAAGCTCTTGTTTCAGGCACTCCCACCCTGTGGGGTCTCCCTGCCTCCCAGGTGCCTTTGGAAGCCAGTTGTCCAGCCAGGCCCAGCTTCCTGGGTTCTCATTCCTAGAGCTTGCCTCTCCTTGGGGTGGGTGGAATACAACTAAGCTTCCACCCTCAGAGGGCAGGGAGAGAGAGTGAGGAGGCCAAGCCACAGCCAGAAAACTCAGGGCTTCTGTGTGCAATCGATCTAAACATAAAGGCCTTGGAGAGCAGGGCCACCCCTGCGCAGGGCCACCTGGCGGCCGGGCGGAGACGATGCGGATTTGTTGGTAACCCATCTCCTCTCTTTGTTCCCTGTCCTCAGAGAACGAGGAGGAGAAGAGTCCAGTGCTAGATGGAGATAGATATATGTAGAGAGAAAGCAACATGTAAGTGGGGGGACTGTCCCCCTGTGTGACTCCCCCACCCCCACTTGACCATAATCAGACAGTGCTCCTTTGTCTCAAATACTGGAGCTGACCCAGCTTTCCCACTGTCGTCCAGGGAATGGCAAGGGAGATCTTGCCATGTGCCAGATTTGCATAAAGAGTAATCCCTCCCCGCCCTGCTCCTCTTGGCTTGCCTTTACACATGGCAGAGCCAGCTGTCATAGGATTACATGTCATCTTAGTGTGTGATGTCCCATATTAGCTGATGCCTCCTATTCTATAATACATGTGGCTTATAGAACATGGTGTGCCATCCACATTATGCTTCCTCAGTGGTATTATGATGCTGTGTAACTATGGCATTATAATATCGTAATTATTACTGGTGCCGGGGTGACACTGTGATGCCACCAGTAATAATAGGCTTCCCACCCTTGTCCTCTGCATTGTGACCTGTTAGGGTGACCAGAAGCATGACTTACCACCAACTCTCAGTTTTCTCAGCTTGGGGGATAAAAGGGGAAGGAAGTTTGGCCAGGCGCAGGGGCTCATGCCTGTAACCCTAGCTACTTGGGAGGCTGAGGCGGGAGGATCATTTGAACCCAGGAGGTCGAGGTTGCAGTGGGCAGTGATCATGCCACTGCACTCCAGCCTGGGTGACAGAGCAAGACTCTGTCTCAAAAATAAAAAAAATAAAAGGGAAGTTTGAGTAGTTCAAATCCATAAATAACCCCAAGCCATTATTCTCCGGGCTCAGAAAACTCCTTTTGTTTCCACAACAACCTCTCCCTCCTGGATGATGTGGAAGGAGCCCTAAGGGGGAGTGGGAAGGGCCTGGGGCTCCCCAGTGGCCATCAGCTCTGGCTGGTTGGCAGTAGATGCTTTGGCCACATTGAGGAGGGGGGCGGGGCCTCGGCTGTGCACGCACTTTCCTTGCCCCTGGCCTGGGCTCTAGGGTTGGCTCTGGCTGGGAGCCTGCCAGGCTCTGGGCAGCGAGTGGGAGTTGAGGAAGGGAAGACTTGCAGGCTGGTAAGAGCTGACAGGACTGTGCCAGGTACAGGAGGTGAAGGTGGGGATGTGGGAACATAGGTGTGGGGGCTTTCTGGTAGCTTCTCTGTTCACCCAGCTCCCTGGCCTTAATCTCTAAGGAGTGCTGTCCGGGTGGACTTGAGGCAGAGAGAGTGGCTTGGGGATGCAAGTGCAGTTAGGAGGAGATTCGGCAAGGGAGAAGATGCTAAAGCCGGTGTAGCCTCCACAGCCTGTGGCGGGGGCTGAGTCCTGGGTCCTGGCCTCCCTGCAGTCCTCTTAGGGTCCCTTAATGGAGAGTCTCAATCTTCCTCCCCATGGAGTGGGCACTGGCTCCACTCCCTGAAGCCCTGCGGGGGCCACACCTGCTGGGTTTGGGGAGACGCTCCTTCTGTCTATGAGGGGCTGTGGAAGCTACCTTCTTTGCCAGTGACAGCTGCTTCTAAGCAGTCCTTGCCCTTGCACTCCTTGTTTTTGGGAGGGAGATGACATGGAGAAGTTGGAGGCACTCATCCTGAGGGGCAGGTTCTGAGAACTCTTGGGCTCTGCCAGCCCTGCACCCTGTAGGGAGAAGGGAATGGGCCTGCCCAGGGTCACAGCGAACAATCCAGAACTGAGACTGCATCCCATGGGACTCCCAACTCAGTGCTCCCTCGGCACCACCCTCCCCATTCGCTGCCTGTGCTGTGTGTGTCTGGCAGTGGAGGGAGGTGAGGCCCTGGTTTTCGCTTATGGTTCTGTGACATGGGAGGCTGCAGGCCCCTGAGGCTGTGGATAAAGGGGTCAGGGGATCAGGAGGGAGTCAGACACTGACCTTGCTCCTTCTGTCTCACATTCCAGGACTGGGTCTGTGCCACACAAGGGCCCCTGGGCCCCCCAGGTGGGCCTTGTGCCCCCAACCCTGGCAGCTCCCCCAGGATTGAACGTGGGGAGCCCCCGGGCAGAAGCGAGAAGGTGTGGGGTCTCTTCTTCAAGGGGAAGCAGCTCCTCAGGAGGCTGGGCTCTGGGAAGAAGGAGTGAAGCTGTGGCCCATCCTGCAGGAGGAAGAGGCGGAGAGGCCCCCAGATCACCATCTCTGCTGAGTAGGGAAGGCTCAGACTGGGCCCAGAGCCCCTGTTCTTCTGCATTAACACTGTGGCACTCAGAGGGGACCAAAGAGCCTTGGTGAAGGTCAGGGCTCCTTAAGGACGAACTCTCTAGAGAAGCACCTTCCTCCTCCAGGAGGGGAAACTGAGCCCACAGTGAGTATGTAACTTGAGCCAGGACTGGACCCAGGACCCTCGTGTCCTGGTCCACCCACCTCGTCTACTAGTGTCCTACCATGCTGGGCTAGTCCCTTCTGACACCCTCCCCAGTCCCAGACGGGCCCTTGGGGGAGAAAGGAGCCTGTGACCCCCATGGCTCTGGCTGTCCTGATCATGTCTTCCCTCCCCTGAAGGAAAGTTTGCACTGGATTCTCTTGGAGCCCCACCTCCCCAGCGGGCAGGTGGGCGGAGCCGTGTATATATGTACATACTCAGTGCCTCCGTTCAGCTTCCTCCACCTCGCTTCCACCGCACAGGCCCGGGAAGGAGAAAGCCCAAACCAAAGTGGGCCCCACCCCGCCCCCATCGTGCTGCACCCCTCCCTGTCGGGGCCTCCTGGCTCCTGTGTGGTCTCACCCGCAAAGACCCTGGGGCCAGCGAGCCAAAAGCAGGAGTTGGGTTTGCCTTATTTTGCTCATTGGATTCAACTTCTCTTTTGCATAGTTTTCTTCTCACCCCTGTTGGAGTCCAGGGGCTGGAGAAAAGGACAGATTTATGCAGCTATTTTCATACATTCCCTGTTCAGAGCGGGGTAGGGGTTCTCCACCCTTACCCTACCCACTCCATCCCCCATCCTCTACTGGGTGAGGGTCTCTTTGCATGTTCCCTTTGCTGTGGTGGGAGATTGACTGAACCCCCACCCCCACTTTGGTCTTCAGGGGTGTGGAATGGTGGGGGAATTTGTTTAAAAAGACATTTTATTATAATAAAGTCTATTTTCACAAAATCTATGCTGGACTCTACCTGGGCAAAAGACCCCTTGGAGGGGTGGGGCATGCTAGGCTTTGGACTCTCGACTTCAGACCCCAGAAGTTATATCCAAAGGGTAACGGGCAGAAACTAATCAACACCAAGAGCTTTTCAATCCTTTTCCTAAGAAGAAGGTTTGGTAGCTTCCTGAGCCCGTGGTCAAAGGGCCAGGTATTTGCTACTGGGATGGGGCTGTGGAAGGAGAGGGGACAGGGGAGACACAAAGAGGTAGGGCATCAGTTTCAAGATGGTGGTGGCCGAGCACAGTGGCTCATGCCTGTAATCCCAGCACTTTGGGAGGCCGAGGGGGGTGGATCACCTGAGGTTGGGAGTTCAAGACCAGCCTGACCAACATAGAGAAACCCCGTCTCTACTAAAAATACAAAATTAGCTAGGCGTGGTGGTGCTTACCTGTAATCGCAGCTATTTGGGAAGCTGAGGTAGGAGAATCGCTTGAACCTGGGAGGCGGAGGTTGTGGTGAGTTGAGATTGTGCCATTGCACTCCAGCTTGGGCGACAAGAGCAAAACTCCATCTCAAAAAAAAAAAAAAAAAGATGGTGGACTGAACACACACTGCAGTCTTTCTCCCCTATACCAAATGCATAGAAATAATAGACATGAGAGAACTAGAACAAACGAACACTATACACAGTTCCATTTGAAAGCAAGAAAGGGGACTCTCAGTCCACTAGAAACCACAGGATTCTGGAAAAGACAGAACAGATGGCAGATCATACTGAGAAACTTTAGAGGAGGGTATATGTGGGAGAGCTCCGCACATTGCCTCAGGACTAGAGGCGGTGCAAACAGGGCAGAAGAGACCCTTGGGGCTACCCATGGTGTGGTTTGTTGGGGTGTTCAGTGGGGAGCAGCCAGGTTGATTGATTGTTGCACATTCTCCTCCCGTGGGCCAAGGGCAAAGGTGAAGACCGTGTGCCTTTAGATGAGAACAGTAGGGTTGCAGCTTGGATCAGAGAGCAGGTGGTACTTTAGGTGGCTGGCCACACCTGGCAGAAACAAGATGTATCACTACTCAGGTGAGAAACCAACAAACTGCAGCGTACTGTGACGCCCTCAAACAAAACCCTCAAAATTATGGCAGCAGTTCCCACCCAGCGGTCCAGCAGAGACTCCCAATCACGATGGCAAGGACACAGTAAAGACAAAGAATATTTGAGGAAAGCCAACTCCACTAAGAGAGATAACAAATGGAAATGGAAAAATATACAGGAGTCAATACAGCATTAGGAGAAAACTTTAAAAAGTGTATAGTTGGCCAGACACAATGGCTCACACCTGTAATCTCAGCACTTTGGGAGGCTGAGGTGGACAGATCACGAGGTCAGGAGCTTGAGGCCAGTGTGACCAACATGGTGAAACTCTGTCTCTACTGAAAATACAAAAATGAGCCGGGCGTGGTGGCGAGCACCTATAATCTCAGCTACTCAGGAGGCTGAGGCAGGAGAATCACTTGAACCCTGGAGGTGGAGCACCAGGGCACTCAAGGCCGGGCAACAGAGCGAGACTTCGTCTCAAAAAAAAAAAGTCTATAGTTATCGTTGGAGAGATAAAGGAAGGAATTACATATGAGAAATGAAAACAAATAGTTATGAAAAAGATCCTAATAGAGATCTTGAAAAAAATATATATATATTCTTATTAAAAAAAAACTCAATATACCGGTGAAGAGCATGTAATTCATAGTTGGATAAAATTAGTAAGCTTGAAATTTGAGGTAAGTAATTCCCTCAGAGTGCTGTACAAAGGGATAAAGAAATGAGCAAAATGAAAGAAAAGTTATATTTGGAGATTGGGGTCCAGTGTTGCAATATCTATTCATAAGAATACCCGGGGTTTGGGAAGATGAGGGGAGGAACAGAGACATGAGTGATAGAACAAATAATGGGTATACATTTTCTAGAACTGAAGAAAGACACAGATTCTTAGATTCAGAGGACTTACTGCATGTGAAGCTTATAAATAAATTACAAGTATAGAAAAAAAATTAAAAAGAGAAGCAACCAATTCCATTTCTGAGACTTGTATAATCTTGTCACCAGAACTGGAAAAGCACAGGACAAGAAAACATTGACAGATCTGTCTTGTTTATGAACAAGATAGATCCATCATAATGAATATTCTAAATATAGATTTAACAAATTTAATATGCATCATGGCGGTAGTATTTAAAAACATGTTTTTTGAGACAGGGTCTCGCTCTGTCACCTAGGCTGAAGTACAGTGGCATGATCACTGCAGCCTTGACTTCCTGGGCACAAATGATCCTCTCACCTCAGCCTCCTGAGTAGCTGGGAGTATAGGCAGCATGCCACTATGCCCAGCTAATTTAAAAACAATTTTTAAGAGATGGGGTCTTACTATGTTGCCCAGGCTGGTCTTGAACTCCTGGCCTCAAGTGATTCTCCTGTCTTGGCCTCCTAAAGTGTTGGGATTACAGACATGAGCCACTGTGCCTGACATGTAGCTTGTCTTAATAGGGCAAAAGTGTTTCACCATTTTATTAATAAATTGATTAATTCTATTATTCTATATTAATAGAATTCACTACCTTGACAGATCAAAGGAGAAAAACCACATGCTCACTTTAAGATGTTGGAAAATCATTTAATAAGTGAAAGCATCCCTTCATAGTTTCTAAGTATATAGCAGATAAGAAAAATAAGGAAGTAGGGTGGAATCTTATCTGCATGTACCCCACTTGTGCTGCAGCTGTGGGACCCTGGAAGGCAGCCTACTCTGAGTTTTACACCTCAGGAGCACCAGGACTGTCTGGGATAAAGCCTTGAAGGATGTCTCTCTTCTGTGGGGGAACTGGAAGAGAGCCCAGGCTGTTCTGGTCAGTTCCTCCTTATATCAGGGTGTTGTATCCCCAGCAAATTTTGCAGTCATTCTTGAGAACTACAAACAACAAACTGGGAGAACTGGGTTGGTCTAAGGCTCCTTGGAGAATTGTCCTGCCAAGAAAAAATCTAGGGGGAAGAAATGTAATTGAGTTTTGTATACTGATCTTGTGTCCTGCAACCTTGCTAAACTCACTTATTAGTTCTGGTAGCTTTTTTCTTGGTCGTTTTTTTGGAATTTTTTACACAATTTGCCATCTGGGAAGGGAGAAAGTTTTATCTCTTCCTTCACAATTTGTATGACATTTATTTTTTTCCTTGCCGATTGCACTGGCCAGGACCTCCAGGGCAGTGTTGACTAGGAGCGGTGAAAGCAGATGTCCTCGCTTTGTTTCTGATCTTAGGGGGAAAGCATCAGTTGTTCACCATTAGGAATGATTTTCATTGAGTTTTTCTGTTTTGTTTTTATAGACGCACTATATCGGGCAGAGAAATTTCCTTTTGTTTTTTCCTAGATTGCTGAGAGATTTTATCAAGAATGGATGTTAAATTTTGTCAAATGTTTGTTCTTCATCTATTAAGATGATCAAACGTCTTTTTTTCCTTTAGGCTGTTGATAAGCTGAATTAAATTGATTGATTTTCAAAAGTTAAAATAGATTTGCATTCCCAAGATAAACCCCGCTTGTTATGATTTTTTTAGTTTGCTAAATTCAATTTGCTACTGTTTTGTTGAGGGATTTTCCATCTGTGTTCATGAGTTATCTTGTTCTGTAGTATTCTTTTATTGTAATGTCCGTGTCAGATTTTAAGAAGAGTACAGTTAGCCTCATAAAATGAGATGGAAAGTTTCTATCACATTCTGTATCATGGAAGAGATTGGGTAGAACTAGCATTATATCTTTTTTTTTTTTTTTTT